ATAGCCAAACTTCTGTCCATTTTCTTGGATTCTAAATAATACAGTTATTTAGAATAGTGTCTCGTTCTTTTTTTTTTTCCGAGTCAGAGTTGCTCAGGATGGAGTACAGTAGCCTGCTCACGCCACGGGAGCCTCAGCCTGCTGGGGTCAGGAGATTCTTCCACCTCAGTCTGCCAAGTAGCTGGAACTACAGGGATGTGCCACCACACCCAGGGTAATTTATTTTTATTTTTTGATTTATTGTAGAGACGAGGTCTTGCCATGTTGCCCAGGCTGGTCTTGAACCCCTAGACTCAGGTAACTCTTGCTTCCGCCTCCCAAAGTGCTGGGATTACAGGTATGAGCCACTGGGTTCAGCAATGCTTCTATGCTTATGAGTCATAGATTTACATATTTTAGGAGTTAAATATCATCATGGTGTCAACTTGTATGCTTATGAGTCATAGATTTACATATTTTAGGAGTTAAATATCATCATGGTGTCAACTTGAAAAACAGTCAAAGAAAAATAAGGTATAAATACATAGAGAAAACAAATAAGGCAATATGTTATCAATTTGTGAATCTAGGTGGATGCTAAATGAATGTTCACCATACGACTTCAACTTTTCCATATTTTGACATTTTCATAATAAAAGTTTGGGTAATTAGAAAAATAAAAACACAAAAAAATGTAAGAATTAACTCAACCAAGGCTGGGCGTGGTAGCTCACACCTATAATCCCAGCACTTTGGGAGGCCGAGGCAGAAGGATTGCTTGAGCCTAGGAGTTTCAGATCAGCCTAGGTAACACAGGGAGACGTCATCTCTACAAAAAATAAACAATAAACTAGCCTGGAGTGTAAAGCAGAAGGACTGCTTGAGTCCAGGAGGTGGAGTCCGCAGTGAGCTGTGATCCTGCCCCTGCATTCCAACCTGGCTGACACTCAAAAACAAACAAAACAAAACACGAAACTAGAAATTATTCTATCAATATGCTGAAATTCTAGACTGATATGTATAATTTGCTTGAAATTTATTTAACATTTTAAAATTTCTTTCTATACAATGGACGGGAACAGGATAATAGCAAAATCCAAGCAATTTTATTCAGCAACTGTATGTTTAAAGAGACTGTTCTTATTCATTTGCTTTTGCTTTCCATATCTAGTAATTTTAGGCCATGAAATACTGATCCTAGTAAAGGTTTATCTGCTTGAATATAAGCAGAGCTTTGGGAAGAAAAATAAAAGATATAATCAAATGAAAGAAGAACTTGTTAAAAAGACGAATGTTAAGGATATGTGCTTATACATACATATAAATGCAGAAATGATTTACTACTTTGAAAAAATTAAGCTTGAATTTCTGTGTTCTATAAATAGTCCACCTAGAGAACTCATTACCTTAAAAGATAAAAAATGGGCTGTGTGTGGTGGCTCACGCCCATAATCCCAGCACTTTGGGAGGCTGAGGTGAGAAGATTACCCGAGCCCATGGGTTCGAGACCAGCGTGGGCAACTTGGTGAGACCTCATATCTACAAAAAATCAAAAAATTAGCTGGGCGTGGTGGGGTGTGCCTGTAGTTCCAGCTACTTGGAAGGCTGAGGCAGAAGGATCATCTAGTATGCCACAGCATTCCGACCTGGGTGACACAGTGAAAACTAACTCAAAAAAAAAGATAAAAAGATAAATATATACACCATTTCAAGATAAATTAAATATATAAATATATGTTGTACACCAGATACTATGACAGGTGCTAAGAAAATGATGATGAGCTGGGCTCAGTGGCTCATCCTGTAATCCCATGCCTTTGGGAGGCTGAGGTGAGGGGATTGCCTGAGCCCACGGGTTTGAGACCCGCCTGGGCAGGCGAGACCTCATCTCTACAATAAACCAAAAAATCAGCCGGGCGTGGTAGCGCATGCTTGTAATTCCGGCTACTTGGAAGGCTGAGGAGGAAGGATCGTCAGAGCTCAGCAGTGGCTGGGAGGGGCCACTGCACTCCAGTCTGGGCGACAGAGTGAGACTCCAACTCAAAAAAAAAAAAAAAAAAAGATGATGAGTAAAATATAGTTCCTACAAATTTAAATATATAGGAAGAGACAGGCATTAAAATAAACTGAAACACCAGGTTTATGTAACAGATTGAGGGACAGGCAAGCAGTCAGTTTATCTGGAAGGAATTATGACAAGGTGAGAGCTGGCTGTTGGGGCTACAGGAACTGGACTACGTTCTATGTGCGATATGAATTTAACAAAAGCAGCAAGAAGGCAACATAACAAAGCTACTTTTTACAAAGATGATTTGTAGAGCCGGGCTCGGTGGCTCAGCCTGTAATCCCGCGCTTTGGGAGGCTGAGGTGAGTGGATTGCCTGAGCCCGCGGGTTCGTGACCCACATGGGCAACTTGGTGAGACCTCATCTCTACATAAAATAAAAAATTAGTCGGGTGTGGTAGCGTGCGCCTGTAGTTCCAGCTACTTGGAAGGCTGAGGCGGAAGGATCATCAGAGTCTAGCAGGTCGAGGCGGCCAGGAGCGGCCACTGCACTCCAGTCTGGGTGACAGAGTGAGACTCCAACTCAAAAAAAAAAGAAAGATGATTTGTAGTAACTATAGATTAGTTTGAAGAAAAAAAAATACTAGAAGCAAGCAAAGTATACACTGAACTCTCAGGGACTCTGGAAATATAGATTCTAGAAGGTACACCAAGGACAGTTTGAAAGCCACTGGGAGGGAGTGTAGTCTGAATTTTCCTGACAAGTTGTATAATATCTTAGTACCTGGCCCTGGGTATTATACTGAGATTGGCATCCAGAACAATATAGTATCTAATACAATATATATAATTTAATATCTTCCTTTCTTTTTTTTTGAGTTGGAGTCTCACTCTGTTGAGGTATGCATGCGCGTGCAGTGGCACACTCCTGGCCACTGCAGTGGCACGCTCCTGGCCACTGCAGCCTCGACCTGCTGGGCTCAGGCGATCCTTCCACCTCAGCCTTCCAAGCGCGGTACTACACCCGGCTAATTTTTTGATTTATTGTAGATGTGAGGTCTCACCATGTTGTCCAGGCTGGTCTCGAACCCGTGGGGTCAGGCAATCCTCTCTCCTTGGCCTCCTGAAGTGCTGGGATTATAGGCTTGAATCACCATGTCTGGCCAATTTAATATCTTTCAAAGCTACATGTGCTTTTTGTCTTTGTATTTTATTCTCACAGTCTAAAAAATGACATTTTAAATATAGATGCTAAAAAATTTCACCTAATCAGCCATGGCCACTGTGTCTCCTATCCACAATATACACATAAACAGCCTAGAAACCAATGGGAGGAACCACCCACTCCAAACAAAACACTCAGTCATCACATGCAACACTAGGTTCAGAGAAAAATAAAACATTAATAGGAAAAGAGAGTACAAGTTGAGCATTCCAACTCTGAAAACCTGAAGTCTAAAATGCTCCAAAATCTGAAACTTTCTGAGCGTCAATATGATACTCAAAGGATTTCAGATTAGGGATGCTCAGCTGGGTTAAATCCAATGCAAAAATTCTAAAACAGAAACAATCCAAAATCTAAAACACTTCTGGTCCCAAGCTTTTTGGAAAAGGGATACTCAACCAATACTCCTTTGACAACACTAAAAAATATATCTAATTAAAATTTAAAAAGTCAACTTTGTATTACTCTGCTTACAAATCAACTGAAGATTTAAGATAATTAGATTATTACAATGTCAAACATTTTAAATGGACTATACAAAGAAGACAGAATCATCCAAGTCTTCCTTGACTCTAGCTAATGTTAACTTACTTCAAGATCAATTGAACAAAACCTCCGCATTTATATTCTGGAATATAAAAGTGGTACAACTGAGGACTGCTAATGAAAATGATGAAAGAATAATTTTTATTGGCATTGACAAGACTCCTATATTTTATTGTAATCCACATTCTAAAAATTCACAGCAGTATAAACAGGAAAAACAGAATGCTACAAATATCCATGTAACTTTCTGTCTTCCTTTCCTTACCCCCATTCTATATCAGCTGAGACTAGCTCCAAATTTCCGCAAATCAATCTAAAACAGGATTCTCTTGGTTAATCTGCTATTTAGTATCTTGCTGGGGGCTCTGAGGCAAACCTGATTTGAATAAACTCAAAAACAACTTTTCCAACTTCCATCAGTCTAAAAGCCTGAAAAGACGACCTTAGAATCTTGGCCTCACCACCAATCTGAACTTTAGAATTGTTCCAAGATAGGCCCTTCCCAGGGAATAATGTTTATTTCTTGAAACTCAGTGAACTCTGAATGTCATGCCAATTTACAGATCCTGACTTGGCTTGAACAAAGATTTGAAACCATTCTCTGTATTTTCTTACATTTAGATTACTTCTTATATGGATGAATCCAGCTACACAAAGATACAGTGGACTAGACTTAAACTGATAGAGTAACATCAAAGTTTAAAAATAAGGAATCATTGATACAATCAGAGGACAATACAACATATATTGCTCCTGTTGAAATACTGTTGACTGAGAGTTCTAGCTTGAAATCTCTCTCTCTCTCTCTCTCTCCATATATATATATATATATACATATATATATATATATATATATATATATTTTTTTTTTTTTTTAGTTGAGTCTCACTCTGTTGTCGAGGCTAGAGTGCAGTGGCACGCTCCTGCCCTTGATCTGCTGGGTGCCGAAGATCCTTCCACTTCAGCCTTCCAAGTAGCCAGAACTACAGGCACGCGCTACCACGCCCAGCGAATTTTTTGATTTATTGTAGAGTGAGGTCTCACCATGTTGCCCAGGCTGGTCTCAAACCTGTGGGCTCAGGCAATCCTCTCACCTCAGTCTCCCAAAGTGCTGAGATTATAGCCTTGAGTCACCGCGCCCGGCCGAAATCTATTTTTACTTCTGAATCTTGACCCACTTAACAAATGATGGCTCTTGTCAGAAATATCAAATAGCAATATGCATTGGTAACTTTAGTTTTCTCACCTAATACTCTGAACGGAAGAACTTAACGATTCATCCTGCATGCTATTGGTTATGGCTGCTTCTCCTTCTGGGACAGCTTGCACTGGCTGTACTACGTGAACAGTCCGGAAAAGCTGGGTTGGATATGGAGGCTGTGAGGGCTGCACTGTCCTCAAAACTTCTGATGGCTGTGCAACCTCCACAGGATCTTTGGATTTTGCACCTTTAGAATTCCCTGGTTTTAGAACTGTAGTGGCTCCTCCTTTTACTCCTGGACTTGAAGATACTCTTGACCGGCTTGCTTGATTCCTACTTGAAGTGGCAGTGGAAGACAGTGATGCATCCGAGGACTCTATGCTGGAACTGGGATCGTCATCATCTATATATATAAGATCTTTTGGCATTTCTTTAAACTGATACACCAAGCGTTGGCCTTCCACTTTTGCCAGAATCCCCCTTTGGTAATAGTATCTATTCAAAGGAGACAATTTCATCAATATTTTATTCAATCAAACATAAATTAAAATAATATTTAACAAAATAGACATTTCCTAATCACAAAACTTTAAAGTTGGAATCCAACAAGTGAGAAAATTCCTAAATGAAGGATAGTTGTTTTATGTAAGATATACACAAACTTATACACAGAGAAAAGCCCTTATTATCAACTAAATCTAAAACAAGCCTGATTAGAAGATTGCTAATTAGGTGTGTAGATTTTCTGGTCTTCAGCTTTCTTCCTTTTTTTACCCTTCTGCTAACTTGCTAGGATAGACTAAAAGTGAGCTTAGAATAACGTGGTACCCTTGTTAAAAATTTTCACAATGTCTAATATTATTCATAAAGGATTAATTTATTCCACCATAATAAAAAACTTATCATACCTGTGATTCATGTTTTAAAATGCACCTCTTATTAACTTGCATTATCATTATTGGCACTATGCTGAATTTAAGCTTAATAGCTCAAAACATATGAGCCCTATGGCCTATTTACAATTCCTGATAACAGACAGTTTTTTCATGCCTATATAAATATGTTGTTTGTATGAAAATTTTTTGGAAGGAAAACATTTTCCCAGATGGGAATAAGATTTAAATTTAAATGTATAATGATTTTTGTAAATATTGTGGTTTTGACACTTTAATAAATAAAATTCACCATTTCTTTAATCCCTTAATTTTTAAAGTTACCTAATTGTTTCAGTATTTAGAAAATGATTTTTTGGTTTTTTTTTTTGAGTCACAGCCTTACTCTGTTATTCAGGCTGGAATGCAGTGGCACACTTGCAGCCATCACAGTCTCGACCTGCTGTGCTAAGGTGATCCTTCTGCTTCAGTCTTCCGAGTAACTGGAACTACAGGCAAGCAATTTTTTAAAAATTTATTGTAGAGATGAGGTCTTGCCAAGTTGCTTAAGCTGGTCTCAAACCCCTAGACTCAAGCAATCCTCTTGCCTCTGCCTCCCAAACTATTGATTATAGGCGTGAGCCACTGCACCAGGTTAGAAAATGATATTTTTAACACAATAAACTACAATAATTGCACATACCTGAGTGCTCTTCCCATGGTCTCATAATTCATATCAGGTTTGTTTTTGTGCTTCCCCCACAACCTAGACACTGCTTTAGAATCCACCAATTTAAAAATGCCTTTCTCTCGCTGGGTCCATTTGATGTATTTAGGACAGGTAGCTTTGTCCTGGAGCAGCGCCAGTAAAAACTCCCAAAGATAAATTGTGTTTCCTGAAACAAAAATAGTTTCTTTTTTAAATGACCAACATTCACTTAAAAGAGCACAATAAAACACAACTAAAAGTCTTAAGTTCCAGCTATATTTATATAAAAATATTCAGTTAGTATTGGTGATCTAAAGATCATAATTTTTAGGGTCTAATTTTTTATTAGTCCCCTATAAGATGTCTCAATAAAGCAATCTTATCAATTAGATTTGTGAAGGTTTAAAGAAAGCATTTTGGAACCATTTTTTTTGCTTCTTTAAGAATGATCACATAGAAGAAACACAAAAGAATTGTACACAACCTTTCAGTATTGTTTCCTTCACATTAGAGCCACCAGATCAGTCCTAACAGTTTTCTTCAAATTTGGGCAACAGTTATGAAAATACCAGAACTTCAAGATGTTATAAAGTGTCTGTGAACCGAAAATCTAACCTGACCGAACTCTTCTAAGAGTCTCATTAATTAAATGAAAAACAAATGAATTATTTTGACAGATAAATGAAAATTACTTAAACTAATTCCTTGGGGTGTTTTATTACCAGTCTCTTTACAGAAACTGGCAACTGTATCTAGTAAGCATTTGCCAGCAATAAGATTCATTTCAATTTATCGTGAAAGCTCGGTGGTTTCTACTCACAATATGCATACACCATAAAGCAATCTAAATGTTGTTTGATCTGGATTATAGGAAAATTACAGTAGTACTTACCCTTTCCGTCTTTGTTTTTCTTCTTTACAGATATATTTGGCGTAGTGGCTGGAGAATCTGGTCGTGGTGGTTTAGTTTTTCTCCCTGAAATGAGAACAACTTTGTGTAAGGATTCGTTTTCAAAAGTGAGAATGAACAATTTCTATTCTGTCATTTATCCTAAAATTTTAAGTGTCAAATGCTTTATACATGGTTCACATATATACTGGTCTCTTAAATGCTGTATACTAAAAGGAAAGCAACTTCAGTAAATATTGAATATTAATGCAGATTAGATCACAAACACACTTAAGCAATAAATGCTATTTGTCACAATGAAGTTAAATTTAAAATATTGCACCTTTTCTTTGAGGTGGCCATACTGACAGTGCTTTCTTAAAATTCTAGAGAATACTCTTGACATTGATAAAACTTGGGCACAAAGCTTTTTGGCAAGCTAAAAAATAAACCAGTGTAGAAATATCCCTTAATAAAAATTAAATATAGATTCCACATCAAGACTTGACAATTTGCTCTAACAAATAAACCACCCACCTCTCTTTCTCTTAGGTTGTTCTGGTGATGAGGCTCCTGGTGAGTCTTCATATGTTTCTTGTACCTGCTGTGCTTCCATCACTTCAGGAATCCCATCTAGTGTGACGGACACATGGGTGATTGGGGCAACAACAATGTCATCTTCAGATGAACTAAATATGTTATTATCTAATGGAAACAAAATTAGCTAATTATAGTCAATTGGGTAGTACAAATCAAAGAATTTCATAAAAGAATTTCCTGTTTCTATGACAACTGAAGTAGAAATAAAAGTCTTGAAATCTATTCCCTGCTTTTTATTTCCTCTTTCCTAAACCAAGTACCCCAGACCAATCTAGTTGTGGCTGGACTAGTTCAATGTCTTTCTTACTTGACTTCCCATCACCAGTCTATCTTGTCTATCCTCTCCATTCTTCACATTGCTGCTCCAGTTATCTTCTGATCCCTAGGTCTGATCTGACCATATTTCTCTATATAAAAACTTTATATCCTGAAAATCAGAAAGAAAGATAAAATTGACACATCTTCCCATAGATTACAGGCAAAAAAAGATAAGAACAATCCAACTCTATGGCACACCTTACAAAGCTTCTACAACTTAGAGCAAATGTACATTCCAATCTCATCTCCCATTCACCATGAGGCATACACTTCAGCCATACCAAAACATTTTTATTTCAAATATTTCATTCTTTCTCACAGGTCTGTGTATTTGGCTCATCTATTCCCTGGCTTGAATGCTCTTTCCTGTCTCCTCTACCTATTAGAAACTTGTTTGTCATTTATCGCTCCAGTCAAAATATTACCTCAATGAAGTCTGTCTCTAATATTCTCAGCTAGAATACTCAATGCTTCTAGAATACTCTGCTATCACTCTCACTTATTATTATTATCACCTTTATTTTTGGCTTTTGTAGTTATTTTCATAAGTAACTGCCTTTAAAATGAAACTGTAAGTGGTTAGGTGCAGTGGCTCAAGCCTGTAATCCCAGCACTTTGGGAGGCAGAGGCAAGAGGATTGCCTGAGCTCAGGGGTTGAAGACCAGACCAGCCCAGGCAACTGAGTGAGACCTGATCTCTACAATAAATCAAAAAATAAGTCAGGTGTGATAGGGCGTGTCTGTAGTTGAGGCTGAATGGAAGGCTGAGGTGGAAGGATCGCCTGAGCCCAGCAGATCGAGGCTGTGGTGGCAGTGAGCATGCCACTGCACTCCAGCCTGGGTGACAGAGTGAAACTCTAACTAAAGAAAAAAAAAATTAAATTGTAAGCTTGAGGAATGGAAAAATATCTGCTCATTTGTATATCATGTTTTTGCCTAACATACTGCTATATGCATACAGCAAATATTCAGTTTAATTGATTTGATAATACTTAATTCTATGAGATTGATTGCTTCCTTGTCAGAAAGTCTAAAGGATATCATGGAATTAAAAACAGATAAATAATGTGGCAGTAAATTTTATGCCATGATTTGTTAGTAAAATTTTCAACAGATTTTTGTCTGTTCACTGATAAGTAACTATAGAGATGACTAAATTATAATTTGGCCTATCACTACAAAAAAATAAAAAAATTAGCTGGGCATGGTGACACATGCCTATAGTCTTAGCTACTCAGGAGACAGAGGCAGGAGGATCACTTGAGCCCAGGAGTTTGAGGCTGCAGTGAGCTATGATCATACTACTGTTCAGCCTAGGTAACAGAGAAAGACTTTGTCTCAACTAACTAACTAACTAACTAACTAACTAACTAACTAACTAACTAACTAACTAACTAACTAACTACTAGTTAAATACATAAAATATTTTGAACCTTAAATACCCTAATACTTCCACTATCGAGTTAAGAAATTTTTTGCCAGGCATAGTGGCTCTTGCCTGTAATCCCAGTACTTTGGGAAGCTGAGGTGAGAGGATTGCCACGGGTTCAAGACCAGCCTGGGCAACTTGGCAAGACCTCATCTCTACAATACATCAAAAAATTAGCCAGGCATGGTTGTGCATGCCTGTAGTCCCAGCTACTTGAAAGGCTGAGGTGGAAGGATCACCTGAGCCCAATAGGTTGAGGCTGTGGTGGCCATGAGTATGCCACTGCCCTCCAACCTGGGAGACAGAGTGAAACTCCAACTCCAACTCCAACTCCAAAAAAAAATAAAAAGAAGAAATGTTTTATAATCTACTATTTGATAACTAACAAATTACTTTTTTTGTTCCTAAAGCTTTCACTCCTCAAATTAAAATGTTTTCTTTAACTGAACACTTTAGCAAAGGTGCCTCAACTAGTACAGTACCTTAAAATGTGCTCGAGACACAAAAAATGTAACATTGCCTCAAATCTCTTGATAATTTCCATCCAACAGAGAGATAGCAGGAATAACTTTATAAAGTACATAAAACATGAATAATCATAACCACTCACGTGCTCGTTTTTCATCTAGCATAGGGCCAGGAGAATCCATATTGAGGAGAGCCTCAGCAGCCTCAATAGTTTCAATTGTTTCATCCCCATCATGACAAGAAGCTTCAACTGCAACACATTTAAAGAAAAAATAAAATTAGCTAAAAGACATCTGTTGCTCTGAAATTCAAACACTGCTGATCTCTTGAACCAGGACACATTTAATATTTGAGTTTATATACATATAAAATTTATAACAACACAAAATTATACTGAACTTGACTATTATTTAATTGCCTTTTTTTTTTGGGTGTTGGAGGGGGTCTCACTGTGTTGCCCAGGCTAGAGTACAGAGACTTGACCATGGCTTACCACAGCCTCAACTTCCTGGGCTCAGGTGATCCCTATGCCTAAGACTCCAGAATAGCTGGGACTTCAGGGCATGTACCACCAAGTCCCACTAATTTTTTAATTTTTTGTAGAAACAAGGTCTCATTATGTTGCCCAGGCTGATCTCAAACTCCTGAACTCAAGTAATCCTCCTGCCTCAGCCTTCCAACACGCTGGGATTATAAGCATGAGCCACCATGCCCAGCTCATATTGCCTGTTTTTTATTAAAAACAAAAACAAACAAAAAACCTAAGCAAGATGCTGGGAAGTAAAAGAGAAGCAAAATAGAGCTCATACTCTGGAGGGAAACCTACTAGTCACTTCTCTGATAATTATTACATTTTCAAAGATAAATATTAACATAAGCATTGGACTAGAGGAGAAAGGATTCTGGAATGAGTTAGAAATCCCAGCTAAGTCACTCAATTAGTATATCACTGGGCATGCCATTTTGTTTCTATAAACCCCATACTATAACATGACTGGGTTAATATCTGTAGGTACTTTTCAGCCCTAAAATCAATTTCAATACACTTTGTTCACTGATAGGAACATAGGTCTCCGTGAATCTTTGAATTTTCTCCCATTCTTCTCCAATTAGTGAACTACCACCATTTCCAAGAAGTTTTAGGCATGGTTCACTCATTGGTAATTAAAGTATTCTGGTACCATTTTTCTTTGGTATATTTTATGGACCATTAATTACTCTATACAGACTGTGTCTAATCCACGGTATAAACTATGCATGTTATTTTTAATTTTTATTTATTTATTTGAGTTGGAGTCTCTGTCGCCCAGGTTGTAGTGCAATGGCACACTCATGGCCACCACAGCCTCGACCTGCTGGGCTCAGGTGATTCTTCTGCCTCAGACTTCCAAGTAGTTGGAATTACAGGCACATGCCACCACACTCGGTTAATTTTTTGATTTACTGAAGAGATGAGGCTCGCCAAGTTGCCCAGGCTGGTCTGAAACCTGTGGGCTCAGGCAATCTCACCTCAGCCTCTCAAAGTGGTAGGAATACAGGCGTGAGCCATTGTGCCGGGCCGCATGTTAATTTTTAGTTTTAATATATACAAGGGAAGAGTCCACAAAAACCTGTAGTTTATTTATAAAAATTTGTGTATTTACTCTTGCATGTTTAAACTTCAGTCACTTTCAGAGTACTTTTCGTTAGACGGAATAAACCTATCGAGACACTTTTCTCACTGTTCAAAACAGTTTCTAATCTTGTCAGTTTTGATACTTTTTAGCGCTTCTGCCGTTTTTTTGTCTCACATCTTCCACATTACCAAAATGTTTCCCTTTGGAGACATTTTTCATCCAGCGGGGAAAACAAAAGTCAAGTCACTCGGAGTGAGATTGGGTGAATAGGGAAGGTAGGGCACAGGGGTCATGCCGAGGTCTCGCCAAGTTGCCCAGACTGATCTCAACCCATGGGCTGAAGCAATCCTCTCGCCTCAGTCTCCTAAAGTGCTGGGATTATAGGTGTAAGCCATTGCGCCTGGCCTACCCATCACTCTTAATTAACTGTGTCACGAAATGCCAAAGTTCTAATAGTGTGAGACTTGATCCTTTTCTTTATTTACTGGTAACTGACACACAGATACTGTCCAGGAAGATAATTAAGTATTAATTTTAGGGTATAGAATAAACTGACTATAAGCACTTTATATCACTGTTATGTTCGGAGTCTTCCTGAAGAAATGAGCTGAGATTGGGTGAGGCATTTGAGATAGGTAGGGTTTAAATACTTTAATAGGGATAGAGGGTGGTTAAAGCAAGGGTAACAGTAGAAGTAAGTAGTATGCATTTAAAGAAAATAATCTAATCTAAATTGTACAAAACAAAATTTGCAACCGCTAAAGATGGTTATAATAATGAAATATTAGTAACTTTTATTGATTAATTTGGCTGACTGCCTTCTCAAGAAGGAATTCCCAAGAGTTAAGTAGAAAATGGAAAGGATGGACAGCTGAAGGAACAGGAAGCCAGGAAAACTTCTGAAGGATGCAAACAAAGATGTTCAGAATCTGGTGTCATATACTAGCTGAGCTCTTCTCAGGAAGAAATTCCTAACAAAGAACATCTTCTTCTATAAAGTAATAGCTAATAGGCCACTGCTTTGCTAAGCACTGGCCAGGCCATGTGTTCTCTGAGCTATGGCCATCATGTTTTCTTAGTTTTGGCTCTCTACCCTACTTTGGGGAGGTGAATCTCTTCTCTAATTTACTTTCTAAATAAACTGTATTTTCAAATTAAAAAAAAAAATGGTTGTATTCTGGGAGGCTGAGGTGAGAGGACTGCCTGAGCCCAGGGGTTTGAGACCAGCCTGGGCAACTTGGTGAGACCTCATCTCTAGAATAAATCAAAAAATTAAGTGGGCATGGTGGCACATGCCTGTTGTTCCTGCTACTAGGAAGGCTGAGGCAGAAGGATCACCGGATACCAGCAGGTCGACAATGGGGTGGCTGTGAGCATGCCACTGCACTCTAGCCTGGGCAACGGAGTGAGACTCCAACTCAAAAAAAAAAAAGTGCCACAATAACATATTCAATTAATATTCTTTAAATCAGATACCTAGTTGATACTGGAATTTCTCTAGTGTTTCAGGTTTTTTGAAAAGTTGGTTTGTTCAAATCAGGATCCAAAGTTCATGTATCACGTTTGATGATCTGTAGTGTCACTTGTAGTATCACTCACTTATATGCCTCCCCCCACCATGTATTTCCTGTAAACTGGTAGTTAATTCTAGAAGTTTGATCAAATTCACATTCAATTTTTCACAATAACTTTTCAAAGGTAGTGTCATGTGATTCTATGTACTTCCTAATATGATACTATAAAGTGGGGTAGTCGGCCTGCAGTATCATTAAGACTGAGAAACAGGTTAAGGTGTCAGCTTGATCTATCCATTATAAGAATCTCCATCAGCCTTTCCTAATAGCTTTTACAATCATGGATGTCATTTACCTAGATCCACTATTTCATTAGGGGTTCCAAAATGGTAATAACTCTAATCCTATTGCTCCTCCAGTATTTATTAACTAGAATTCTCTATAAAGAAGAAATTTCTTTCATCATCTATCTGGTTATCCTGAGCTATAGTTCATACAATCAATGTGAATTAAATGCTTGATTCTGGCTAGGTGAGGAGGCCTACACCTGTAATTCCAGCACTTCGGAAAGCTGAGGCAGGAGGAGGGCTTGAGGCCAGGAGTTTGAGACCAGTTTGGGAAGCACACTAAGACCCCAACTCTACAAAAACAAAAAATTAGGCTGGGCTCAATAGCTAAGCCTGTAATCCCAGAACTGTGGGAGGCCGAAGCAAGTGTATTGCCTGAGCCTGCGGGTTTGAGACCAGCCTGGGCAACTTGGCGAGACCTCATCTCTACAACAAATCAAAAAAATTAGCCAGGCGCGGTAGTGCGCACCTGTAGTTCCGGCTATTTGGAAGCCTGAGGCAGAAGGATCTTCGGAGCCCTAGCAGATCAATGCTGGGGTGGCCGTGAGCATGCCACTGCACTCCAGCCTGGGCAATGGGATGAGACTCCAACTCAGAAAAAAAAAAAATAGCAGGCATGGTAGTGTTCGCCTATAGTCTCGACTAACCAGAAGGTTGAGAGGACTACTTGAGCCCAGGAGTTTGCTACCCTAGCATCACACTGCACTCCACCTTGGATAACAGAGCAAGACTTCATCTCTACAAAAATAAACGTTTCATTCTTTCTTCATTAATGAGTAGTTTTCAGACTAATAAATGGGTCTTCTACCATCTTCCAAAAAGTAACAAATCAGTTGCTATCTTTTCTTTTTCTACTCATGTTTTTTTTAAGAGATAAGGTCTTACTTTGTAGTCCAAGCTATAGAGTGGCATGATCATAGATCACTGCAATATTTAACTCCCGGGACTACAGGTATGTGCCACAATGCCCAGCTAATTTTTTATTTTTGTACAGATGCAGCCTCACTATGTTGCCTAGGCTGTTGTCAAACTGATGGGCTTGAGTGATTCTCCCCACTTGGCCTCCCACAGTGCTAGGATTACAGGTATGAGCCACTGCGCCTGGCCCGATTTTTCTTTTTTTAGTATCACTGTGAATTTGAATGTTTTTAATGTTCTCTAACCCACTGCAGTTATAAATCTTTTTTTTTTTTTTTTTTTTGAGTTGGAGTCTCACTCCCAGACTGGAGAGAAGTGGCTGCTCCCAGCCACCGTAGCCTCAACCTGCTAGGCTCCAGCGATCCTTCCGCCTCAGCCTTCGGAATAGCTGGAACTACAGGAATGCGCTACCGTGCCTGGCTAAGTTTTGATTTATTGTAGAGATGAGGTCTCGAACCCGCGGGTTCAGGCAATTCACTCACCTCAGCCTTCTAAAGGCATGGGATTACAGTCTGAGCCACCGAGCCTGGCTTTTTTCTTTTTTTTTTGAGTTGGAGTCTCACTCTGTCGCCCAGACTGGAGTGCAGTGGCCACTCCCGGCCACTGCAGCCTCGACCTGCTGGGCTCCCGGCGATCCTTCCGCCTCAGCCTTCCAAGAAGCTACGCCTGGCTAATTTTTTATTTATTGTGGAGATGAGGTCTCGCCAAGTTGCCCAGACGGGTCTTGAACCTGCAGTTATAATTCTTAATGATGCTCTAAATGTCCCAACTTTGGAAACTAAAGTTGGTTCCGGGGTTTTTTAAAGACATCTTTGATACCTTTCTTGCCTTTTGGGATGACAAGATTTTGAAACAGTCATTTCAGGTATCCTGATATCTTTAGTGGAAAGTGTCTTTATTTATTTAGCTTTATTAGGACACAGATGGCCTTTATTGGTTGCAATAGGAAGTGGAAGATTAGGGGATACAACAACTTCTGCTCCTGGAACAGCATCTGCAGACTCAACCACTATGTCTAAAAGGGGGAAGTGTCATAAGAGATCACAATTTGGATACTAGGGGTGTTCACTGTTATTGGACTCTTCATTACTTCTAGGTTTTATCAGCAGCCAAAGTTGGGAAGTACGTAGATATCCTTAGAATGTTTATTTTAGATAATTTTCAACATTCAGATGCAAATAGAATAACATAAGGAACACCTGTGTATCCTTCACTCAGCTTCAACAATTATCAACTCACGCCAATTCTGTTTGATCTATATCCACATGCACACTCCTTCACCTCCATGTTATTCTGATCCAAATTCTAAACATACTGACATTTCAGTGGTATGTATTTTACAAATCTCTCTAAAAGGTAAGAGCTGTTTTAAAAAACATAATTATAATACCATTATCTCATGAAAAAAATCAGTATTTCCTTGATATTAAATAGCCAACCAGCATTCAAATGTCTAATTGTCTTAAAAATTATAAATGGTGGTAGTGGAGGAAGGGGAGAGTGTCCAGTTTTTGGTTTATGTCAATTAAGTCTGCACACTGAAACTGACTGATTGCTTCTTAACTTTCTTTTCAATTCCATGCCACCATTCATCTCTCTAGCTTTTTTTACCTTGCAATTTATTTGTTGAAGAAATTAGGCTGTTTATTCAGATAGAGCTTCTCAAAATATGGATTTTACTATTTATGCTATTGTTTGGTTTTCCTGTATTTCCTCTAAACTGGAAATCAGATCTAGAACCTTGATCAAATTCAAGTTTCATGATTTTTGGCAAGGCTAAATAAATACTTTACATATTTTGATGACAGTTGCAATCTAATATAAGCCTCACACTTCAAATAATCATTAAATTTATTAAAAGTTTTAAACAAAATCAAAATTATGGAGCACAGCACAATGAATCCCCAGGTGTCCACTCCCAGCTTCAACTACTATCAAGATAAATGGTCAGTCTTCTTTCGTCCATACCCCACTCATTGCCCCAAGTCCTCACCCTCCACACAGGATGATTTTGAAGGAATCTAAGACATCATATTGAATTTCTAAACACTTTAGCACGTTTTTCTAAAAAATAAGTCTGGCCAGGCATAGTGGCTCATGTCAGTAATCTGGCACTTTGGTAGGCCAAGGTAGGAGGAGGATCGCTTGAGTCCAGAAATTTGAGACCAGCCTGAGCAAGACTTGTCTCTCTTTTAAAAAAAGAAGTAACAAACAAACAGAAAAAAAAAATTAAAAATTGAAATTACACGGGCTCGGTGGCTCAGCCTGTGATCCCCGCGCCTTTGGGAGGCTGAGGTGAGTGGATTGCCTGAGCCTGCGGGTTCGAGACCTGCCTGGGCAGCGAGACCTCATCTCTACAATAAATCAAAAAATCAGCCGGGTGTGGTAGCGCATGCCTGTAATTCTGGCTACTTGGAAGGCTGAAGTGGAAGGATCGCCGGAGCCCAGCAGGTCGAGGCCACGGTGGCCGGGAGCGGCCACTGCACTCCAGTTTGGGTGACAGAGTGAGACTCCAACTCAAAAAAAAAAAAAAAGAAATTACAGATAACTACAATTGTATTCAGTTCTCAATCAACCTTGTATTCCTTGCCCTAGCATCTATTCAGAAGCTCCTAAACCAATGTTCCTGATCTAGTATTTCCAAATGACAGAAAACAGAAACTCACAATTCTTTATCACCTTACCAGTCTATTTTATTTTTATTTTTTTTGAGTCGGAGTCTCACTCTGTCGCCCAGACTGGAGTGCATTGGCCACTCCCAGCCACTGCAGCCTCGACCTGCTGGGCTCCGGCGATCCTTCCGCCTCAGCCTTCCGAGTAGCCGGAATTACAGGGCATGCGCTACCACGCCCAGCTAATTTTTTGATTTATTGTAGAGATGAGGTCTCGCCTGCCCAGGCAGGTCTCGAACCTGCAGGCTCAGGCAATCCACTCATCTCAGCTTCCCAAAGGCGCAGGATTACAGGCTGAGCCACCGAGCCCGGCTACCACTCTATTTTTATATCCTTGGTCATCTATTAAGATGCTAGGCTGGACTCGGTGGCTCAGCCTGTAATCCCAGCACTTTGGGAGGCCGAGGCAAGTGGATTGCCTAAGCCTGCAAGTTTGAGACCAGCCTGGGCAACTTGGCGAGACCTCATCTCTACAATAAATAAAAAGTACCCGGGCGTGGTAGTGTGTGCCTGTAGTTCTGGCTACTTGGAATGTTGAGGCGGAAGGATCACCAGAGCCCAGCAGGTTGACACTGGAGTGGCTGTAAGCTTGCGTGCCACTGCACTCCAGCCTGGGCGACGGAATGAGACTCCAACTCAAAAAAAATAAAAAGATTCCATGTAACATCCACAAATACAACCATATCCAGAGTTTTTCTGGTACTATGACAAAAACATCAACTCAATTTCTAGTCCTTTAATTCTAAGTCTGAGTGACAAAGTTATCATCTTTTTGTTTATTTTCCTTTGTTATCTTTTCTTTCTTTCTTTGTTTTATTTGGAGTCTCACTCTGTCGCCCAGGTTGGAGTACAGTGGGATGCGCAGTCACTGCAGTCTCGACCTGCCGGACTCAGGTGATTCTTCCACCTCAGCCTTTGAAGTAGCTGGAACCACAGGCATGCACCACCTTGCCCGGCTAATTTTTTGATATATTGTAGAGATGAGGTCTTGCCATGTTGTTCAGGTTAGTATTGAACCTCAGCTCAGGCAATCCTCTCACCTCTACCTCCTAAAGTACTGGGATTAGATGTGAGCCACCATGCCCTGCTTGTTATCTTTTCAATATGATGGGTAAGATGGTATTGATTTTTATTTTTATTTCATACTGCATTTATTTATTTAATGAAGAAAGCAACTCTCTTGTTCATACTTATTGGAAATTTATAATTTTTCCTTTTTCTTTTTGAATAGGAGTCTCACTCTATTGCCCAGGCTGGAGTGCAGTGGCACGCTCACGACCACCACAGCCTCGACCTACTGGGCTCAGGCGATCCTCCCAAGTAGCTGAAACCAAGGCACATACCACCACGTCCAGCTAATCTTTTGATTTATTGTAGAGACGAGTCTCACCAAGTTGTCCAGGCTACTCTCGAACCCCTGGACTCAGGTAATCCTCTCGTCTCTGCCTCCCAAAATGATGGGATTCGAGGCATGAGCCACTGTGCCTGGCTAATATTTTTTTACTTAGTAACAAGACTGTTCAAATTCATTGTCCATTTAAGACTATTATTGATTGGTAAGAGTTCTCTACACATTAAGGATATTTACCCTTTATTTACCACATAGGTTGCAAATAGTTTCACCTATGTGTCACTGATCTGCTTATTTCAGTTATATTGTTTTTTGGCACAATAAAGTTTTCAATTTTTGTTACCAAAGTCAATCCATCTTTTTCTCTTTGTATATTTTTCCTTTTTGCTTAGAAAATCAAATACTCAACCTTTTAACTTTTTTACTGGTTTCATTTGTCATATTATGCTTTTTAATGTATTGGGATTTACCTTGATATTTTGAAGCATGACCAAGGAAGAAACCTAACCTTTCTCTCCCGCCCAGAATGGATACCCAGTCATTCTTCCTTTCCTACAATTTAACATGTCACTGTATCATGTGTTACCTTCTTAAGCAGACCAGAACCTGCATCCAGGCTTAATATTCAGTTCTGTACTACATGTTAAGGTAAAGCTAAGAACAAGGCAGTCACAGTACTTGCCACCATGAAATCTACAGAAACAACTCATTATGCCTATTTTTGGTAAACTTTCTTTTATAAATAAAGATACAAATATTTGCTTCCAAGAACTTAATCTTCTTAAATATCCTAACATCTCTGGCCAAGAGACATGAATGTAAATACACAAAAATAGAAAGCATGTACCAATCCCAAAAACTGATGACAGTATCATTACCACTACCTCACGTTTATGTAATCTATTCTTCAAGTTTAAATGGCTAACTAGTTCTGACTGAACCAGAAGAGAAATATTCTGTAAGTTCCAAGATCTCACTGTACATTTGAGTCATGGCCTACTATTTTGCTCCCTGTGGTAACAGTAAAAAAAAAAAATTCCTATCTCTTTCCCTGCAAACAACTCCTCATTTTGTTCACAGAAACATAGAGATAGGCATATAAAGAAGTACTCAGTGAGCTTGAAGTGATGATGTGCACCTGTAGTCCCAGCTCCTTGGGAGGCTGAGGAGGAAGGATACTTGAGCCCAGGAGTTCGAGTTCACCTGTGCATCATAATGAGATCCTGTCTCTTTAAAAAAAAAAAAAAAAAGGTACTCAGTGAAGACTTGATGAACTGAATATGTTTGGTTCCTCCTATTTCGTCACATTTATCTCAATATGTTTAGGAAAGAAGAAATGGGAAGTGACAAAGCAGTATGAAACCTGGCAGATGAAACAGAAAATGTAATTTTCTTCTCCTGGCTGGGCTTTAGCTTCTGCATGCAATCAGGCTACTCAAAACCAAGTTACGAACTTTTATGCCCTGTAAACCTTAGGACTAGAGCATTGCTTAAAACTGTGCTGCAGCAAGGTCCTGCTGGAGACACACACACACACCTGTAAGGGTGATGTCATCATCATCATCGTCTATGATTTCTTCTTCAGCAACATCCAGTGAGCTCTCAGTAATCATGTCATTGGGCTCTTCCACACAGGCTAGACCGGCATAACCATTGAGAATATCAGCACCAGGAACATGTTCCACAATTACAGCAGGAAAAATAGCTGGATCACCAAGCTGAGAAGGGTTGGGGAGAGATGAGAATAAACCAAAAGATTAGCAAAGTTTTATTTTTGTTCAATGTAGTTCAAAACATTCTATTAAGACCAAATATACTTTCATTATTAATCTTGGGCCTTAACAACTAAGTTTTCATTAGGCAATCAACATATGCTAATGACATTAAATAAAGAAACTAGTAAGATATCATTAATGCATAAGCAAGAACCAAGACGTGGCATACAAATAAAATATACAATTAAATAAAATCTCAGTGTTTCTTTGGCAGCAACAATTTTTTGTGAGTTTAATAAATATTACACAGTCACTTGGTACACAGGCCTGGTTTTACCAACAACTTTTGACTCAAATGGAAAAATTAATTTTCATTTTCTATAATTGCCTCTTTGTCTATAGACCTTATTCAAATTTCCACCTGTCGCACTAATGTTTTAAAAACATTTTTTTTGGCTGAGGATTCACTGTAGAATCACAGGTTTCACTTAGTAAATATTGTGTTTTTTAATGACAACTCCTTTAATCTGGAACAGTTTATTCTCCTTTAATCTGAAGCAGTTATTCAATCTGTCTTTCACAATTCTGACACTTTTGAAGAGTACAGGTGGTCATTTGTTTTGTAGAATGTCCCTCAATTCAGGTTTGTATGATATTCCCTTATGATTAGATTCAGTTTGCATTTTTGACAGTAACAACAAAGAAAGCAATATCATGTCCATTCAAAAATATCGTGTCAGGGGACCCAAAAGACCTATCTGTTCCATTACTGGGAATATTAATTAATTAATTAATCTGATTGGTTGCTTGATTGAGATGGGGCCTAACTATGTTGTCTAGACTAGACTTAAACTCCTGGGATCAAGTGATCTTCCCAAGTAGACAGAACTATAGGTACATACCACTGTATCTGGCTTAACTTTGATCACTTAGTCAAGGTAGTGTCTACCAGGCTTTTCCACTACAAAGTTACTATTTTTTCCCCTTTGTAATTAATAAGCATCTTGCGGGAAGATAATCCAAAACTATGTAAACTTCCTCATAAAGTACTATCTTTTATTTTGTTTGAGTTGAAATCTCACTCTGTCGCCCAGGCTGGAGTGCCGTGGCACGCTCATGGTCACTGCAACCTTGACCTACTGGGTCTCAGGTGATCCTTCTACCTCAGCCTTCCAAGTAGCTGGAACTACAGGCAGGCGCTGCCATGCCTGGCTAATTTTTTGATTTACTGTAGAGACGAGGTCTCACTAAGTTACCCAGGCTGGTCTCAAACCCCTAGGCTCAGACAATCCTCTCACCTCGGTCTCCCAAAGTGCTGGGCTTCAGCCACCACGTCCAGCCAGTACTCTCTTATTAAATGTGAGAAAAAGGTCCTGCTCATAGATAATGTCAGGCACTTCGTTATTTTCCTTAAGCAATTCTGCTATATCTGAAATATTATTTATGGTTGTGTTATATTATGCAGTCTTAATCTTTTAAAATTAGTATGTTTACAGAACTGCACATAAGAACTTAATTATCTAAATTAAATATGCATTATAGGTGCTAAACAAATATTACCCTTACCCTCAAGAATGCTATCTTCTGAAATTTATTAGTAATAACCCTAAAACACATTTGGAACGTTTTATTTCAAAATGTTTCTTCCTGTTTCAGAAAAGAGGAAGTTAGCCAGAAGTAACTGGCTTTTCAAATCATAAAACAAGTTTCAAAACAGAAACCAGGCGACTCAAAAATTACACTGTGGAAGCCAGGCATGGTAGCGCACCCGTGTAGTCCCATACTTGAGAGGCTGAGGCAGGAGGATCGTTTGAGTCAAGGAGTTTGATGTAGAACAGTCACTGTACTCCAGCCTGGCAACATATTGAGATCCTGTGTTTCTCTCTCTCCACCCTTTTTTTTTTTTTAAGTAAAGGGTCTTATTCTATTGCTCAGGTTGGAGTGCAGTGGCACATTCACAGCCTTAATCTCCTTGGGCTCAGGCAACCCTGCTGCCTCAGTCTCCTGAGCTGGGACTACAGGTGCACACCACCACACCTGGCTAATTTATAAATTTTCTGTAGAGATGAGGTCTTGCTGTTTTACCCAGGCTGGTCTCAAACTCCTGGGCTTAAGCAATCCTCCTCTTCTGGCCTCCCAAAGTGCTGAGATTATATGCGTGAGTCACTGAACCTGCCTAAGATCCTGTCTCTTAAAAAAGAATAAGAAGAGCCGGGCTCGGTGGCTCAGCCTGTAATCCCACGCCTTTGGAAGGCTGAGGTGAGTGGATTGCCCACGGGTTCGAGACCTGCCCAGGCAACTTGGCGAGACCTCATCTCTACAATAAATCA